GTATGAGAATCAAGGAAACCATGTGTTTTCATTGGGATTTTTGGGATTTTTGGGATTTCTAAGGTTCTGAAGCTTCGGAGGCTCATGGGTTGTTATTCTCTGGAAAGAGAAAATCCCAAAAATCAAAAAAACAAAAGAATGAAAACACATGGTTTCCTTGATTCTCATCCAAGAAATCCCAAACATCCCAATGAAAACACAGGGTTTGGCGACCCCTGACGACGCTAACCCTGTGATTCCACAGGGATCGCTGCTCCCTCAACTCTCTCTCTCTCTCTCTCTCTCTCTCTATCCACCTTTCTCTACCTCTCCCTCAGTCTCTCTCTGTGTCCCTCTCTGTGTTCCTCTCTCTGTCGCTCTTGCTCTTCCTCCCCCTCCTCCTTCTCCTCCTCCAGCTCCTCCTCCTCCTCCTCATCCTCCTCCTCCTCCTACTCCTTGTCGTCCTCCTCTTCTTCTGAAGCGCACAGGGGGGGGGAGAGAGAGAGAGAGAGAGAGGGAGAGAGAGAGAGAGGAGGAAAGGAAGAGGAGCGTATAACATCGCCAAAACACCAGAGGCCAAGAATGGGCGCTGGGGGGGGGGCTGTCCATATGTATATATACATATACATATGTACATATATATATATATAGATCGGCGACGACCTCTTGGCAACGAAACGTGCTGTGCCAAGCTCTCTGCCATGAGGGGGGCCAGCTCTTGCGTTCCTTATAGAATATATATATATAATATATATATATTATATATATAATCAGACAACATCAAAAACAGCCGAACATCGTTCCCATTGTACACTATTTGTTCGCATATACCTCCCGCAAAGGGACACGCCCGACTCGGCGCCAGGGCGAGGGCCGCACCTCGAAAAGGCAGGCCTCCCCCTCCGACCCCAGGACTATGATGTTCCAGCCGACTTTAGCCTTGACCACCAGAACGAATTTCGAGCACCAAGAACGCACTGAGAGTGAGACACACAAAGGAGGCGCGCCAGGCGCGCCTCGCCGGGGGGAGGAGGAGGAGGAGGAGGAGGAGGAGGAGGAGGAGGAGGAGGAGGAGGAGGAGGAGGAGGAGGGGAGGAGGAGGAGGAAGAGAGGAGGAGGAGGAGAGGAGGAGGAAGGGGGAGGAGGAGGAGGAGGAGGAGGGGAGGAGGAGGGAGGGGGAGGAGGAGGAGGAGGGAGGAGGAGGGGAAGAGGGGGAAATTGAGGAGAAGGAGGAGGAGGAGGAGACGAGGAGGAGGAGGGCGGAGGGGGGAGGGGGAGGGGGAGGAGGAGGAGGAGGAGGAGGAGGAGGAGGAGGAGGAGGAGGAGGAGGAGGCGAAGCCCGGGGAGACCCGGAGAGGACAGGGAGCGCCTGCCCCAGAGAACCGACGCTCCAACAAAAATTGGAGCAGGCGGAATTGGGCTGATGTCGGCCTCCGGGGGCCCTCGCCGGGCCTCGGGAGCGATCGAAAGACGACTCGGGGCGAAACGCTGGCCTGTAGGGAAGTGGTCCAGATCTCCGGGGCCCACGCACCGAGAAAATTGGAGCAGCCGGATGTCTGGGTAGAAGCCGTGGCCAGCTGGGCTTGAGCCGTTTCCTGGTCCTGGTGGGCGAGCCGCTAGCTATCTTCTTTGAGCAGGCCCCGTAGCCTTGAGCGTAAGGCTCCCCGTGATAAAATCGCGCCTCGGATCTCGACACCCCGCGCTCCACGTCGGAGGACGCGAAGGTGCACCCACCGTGGCGCACGAGCGCAAGCGCGAGCGTGCGCGGAGGAACGAGGATCGAGCATTTCATGCTTCGATCACGCATGGTGCCTGCTTGAGGGTCTGGGGAACCTCCCCGGAGCCTCCGGAGGCCTCCCCAGGGGCCTCCGGATACCCACGAGGCCACGGTTTCGGTTCCACGCAGATGATCTGCAGCATGAAGCATCACTTGCCACGAGAACGCAAATCGAACCCATGACTTGCAGGAACAAGTGCATGCAGCTGATTAGTGTAAGAGTACTTTCGTTCTGTAATAAGCGTCCAGGGGCACCCCCCCGACTGGGGTCAACCTCGCCTTGTCGGCGCGCCGCGACGGGGGGCAGAGCGCCTTCGGCGCGCGGTGGCTGCCCGCGACGGGGGTCGATGCGCCGAACAAGCGACGGCGGCGGCAGCACATGCGACGACGACACGGACGACAACGACGGCGGCACTGACGACGACGACGACGACGACAAGCGGCGATGACGGCGACGGCAGCGGTGGCGGCGGCTGCGGCGACGACGGCAGCGGCGACGGCGGCGACGGCGACGACGACGACGGCGGCGGCGACGGCGGCGGTGGCGTTGACGGCGACGGCGGTCGCGGCGGCGACGGCACTGGCGGCGAGGGCGATGGCGACGACGGCGACAGCGACGGCGGCGGCGGCGGCGACGACGACGACGACGACGACGACGGCGCGCGCACGCCTCTTGGACTGCGCCAGCACCTGCACCGCCTCTGCCGCGGACTTGCCCCACGACTGCGGCTGGCACTTAAGCACCTCCCCGCGCGGGAGGTGCCCTCCTGTGCCCGCAGCCCCCTGCGCCGCGAGCATTCGTGCAAAAATCCTGCAAAAGGATTCCAGAATTGAGCATCCGTCGTGAAAAACAATGGGTTTCTCGCCTCAGAGTCGCGCACATTCGCGTTGTGCGTGTGACGTGTGGCAAAGTGGAGAAACGCTTTTTCAACATGACGCCCTCGCTTGAGAACTCGCTGAGTTGCAAAATCCAACATTTCAACGCATGCAGCGCTGCACGGATCCATGACGGTTGTTCCGTCTTCTTATTTTTTATAATAATGGGAGCAATACAGATACTAATAGTAGTAATACGAATAAAACTAATACTACGAATGCTAATAATACCCATCAGAATAATAATGCTAATAATAATAAAATGCAAATAAAATGAATAATACTAATAATAATAAGAACAATAGTAATAATACTAATAATAGTAATAGTAATCATAGTAATAATAAGAATACCAATGATGATAATAATACGATCAATAACAATGATACTATAAAACTGGATACTTCGTCGGAAGTCAACCACCAGTGTAAACGCGTGCAACAGTTGCGTGCACGAGCGGTGGAAGGGCGGGGGCGTCCTTTTTCGAAGGGGGGATCTCGCCGGACACCTCTCTGAACTTGGTGACCATTGCTTTTCGCAGTTCTAAGTACGCGACCTTCGCCAAAACGAGGCCATCGACAGAACGACAGGCCCAATAGTGATTGTCTTTCACGGGGGACGCTGCCTGCGGCAAAAAGGAAGACAGCGAGGGGCGCATGAGCAGGGGACTTGGAACTGGAGGGCGTACAGCAGCATCGCTGATGCAGAATTGGTTCATCATGGCCCCCCCCCTCCCTCCCCTGCCCCCCCCCCATCTTCACTGCGCGGCCCAGCCTGCGCGCGCCGCGACGCGCTGCCTCCCCCCCCCCTTCCCCTCCCGACGGCGCGCAACACGTCGGCGCGCACCCGGCAGCAAACGCCAAGGCGCGGCTACGTTTACGTCTGCTTGTCCGTCTTGACGCGCACCATCTCCGCGCCAGCCCTCTGCCATGTTCTGAGCATGCCGTTCCGGGGCGTCTGCCTGCATATCCGACTGCTGCCGTATGGGAGCGGCGCAGTTCCTGCTCAAGCTGACGACGGCCTGCCTGGACCGTCGGATGTCCCCGACGCCATCCGCGCGCGGTTCGGCCGCCACGTCGACAGCCGTCGCGCGCGCACTTTCGGCAATGCTTTTCGGGGTTGCTTGTCGCGGCGCATGCGGAGGACGTGGGGGCCCCCAGCTTCGACAGCGAAGCCAACGCGTTCGGCTGTAGTTTCTTCTCGGCGCGCGCCACCTCAGCGGCGCGAGCTGCCACCGCCGGTTGCTGGGCTGGCGCGGGGAGGGGGGCACAGAGCAAGGTTGGCCGACGTTGCAGCGGCAAGAAGGGACCTGGAGAAATCGCCATCATGGTGCGTCCACCTGCCATGTCCTGACGGCGGCTTACCTGCGTTCTAACGCAGCGATCCCTCGCAGACAGTCGCCATGCTGTCGCCGACCAAATGAATGGCCACCCACTCAGCGCGACAGACCGCCCTCAAGGGAGCTTAAAGCAGGGTCGCCAGTGAGAAGCCCTCCCAAGCTCCTGCCACGCAGCCGCCCGTAGCGGTGCGCCGTGGGTCCCGCACTCCGGGCTCCGTCTGCAATGGCGCCCCCTGGCCGCATGGCTTGGGTTGGACGCAGCCGCGGTTTCAAGATCTGGCGTTGCCTGGCGGGGGCTTTGCGCGCCTGGTCGCTTCGGCACTGCACCTGGCCAGCCCGGCCAGGCGCGCGAGACCTGCGCGGCCACTGCGAGCACCTGTGCGGGGCGCGCGCGCGGAACGCGGCACTGCTGGCCGAGCGCACTCGCGCGTTCACGCAAGCACGCGCTCGGGCGAGCACGCAGTCGCACACGTCAACTCACGTAGAATCAACGACTAACCGCGCCTCGCGCCATCGCGCCTGCGGAGAGGCGGGCATCCGCGCAAACCTGGGCCCTGGCCCAGCGGCGCACCGCGCGCGTGCCCCACGCGCACACGCTCCGCATCCTCACAGTTCGATCTAAACAGCTCGCCATCGCTCGGACGTCCATTCCCTGTGTTTTTTTTGGTTTCGTGAATGGTTTTTCGCCATCTGATCAAGGATGCTCCTCGATGGTCCTCGCCGAAGGAAAAATGCACACGTCCGAGCGATGCCAAGAACAGTGGCGGGCCCCGCACGAGCGGTGCTGCTGCAGAGGTGGCGGACGACCCGACGCGCTCGTGAGACCGATTTTGTCGCGTGGTTTCCGTGCAGTTTGACTTCGCTGCGGCACGGAGCTTCGCCCCCCATGTGCGCGACAAGGTGGTCGGCGGGCTTCGGGACTCCAGCGGCTCCGATGCGAGGGCGCCACCATTTTGTCCGTTCGGTGTCGTAGTGGCGGTTGCCATTAATCCATGGGTCGCCAGCGCCAGGCGCGACCTTCTCTCCGGAATCCTCCCAGGTCTGCTCCTGCTGGACAGGGAAGCGCAGCTTCATTGCAGTCGGGGCCTTGACCTAAGGAACGATACATCAGGTACGAGGCCCGTCTTTTCCATAAGTGGAACTTCGATTCCCCATGGAAGACCTAAGGACAACCCAAGGCAAAGTGTAAAACAATCAAGGAACACCGAGCCCCTCCCCAACGAGAAGGGTTCCTTCTCCAGCGCCCCGACTGCATGCCATTTGCTTCCACAGCGATGGACCCGACGAGCGCACGAACGCCGCGGCCTCCGGGGGCCTCTTGCTCCCGGCGCGAACGCGCGGGCGCACAGATTTTGCCGCCGCGCTCGCTGCGGTCAGCAGGGGGAGCTCCGGGTCTGAAGCTCCGATCTGCCACCACTTGAACGAAGGATTGCAAAAAAACCCGAAGGATTGCAAAAAAAACCAGGATTGCAAAAAAAAGAAAACCGAAGGATTGCAAAAAAAACCGAAGGATTGCAATCCCCCTTCGGAGGATTGCGAAAAAACCGAAGAAAGCGCCGAAGGATCGCAAACATCCCGAGTTTTTTTTGCAATCCTTCGTTGTTTTTGCAATCCTCCGATCTGCCACCGCCTCCGCGGACAAACGCGATGCGCGCGCGACCCCGACGGCCGCCGGCTGCCCGCGCAGAGCACGCGAGCGCTCCAGACGCAGGCCAGCGGGGTGGGAGAGGAGGGGGAGGAAGGCGGGATTGAAATTCGAACGACGAGTTCACCCCGGGGCGCCCCGAGAAACCTTTAAAGAGCAGCGATGCGCAACGAAAATATCGCGAATGACGCCCCTCGATTCGGCAACAAAAAACATCACGGCTGTCGCGGGACACGGCAAGCAGCGGCGCGCGGCAGGATGGGCCCGCGCACCGAAAAAGGAAGGAGGCGAGACAGAGCAAGGGGCAAACAGCAACAGCAGCGACACTATTTCAAAGCGCGCGGCATACCTGACCCGCGGTAGCATCGCTCAGCGGCGCAACTAGGGGCAAAACGTGCAAAAATGCGAGACTGAAGCTAAGCATCGACCGGACGAGAGGCGGGCGAGAGCCCGCCCATCGGCGGCTAGCGCGCACAGCGCGGTGCGACCATGGAAAGCAGGCAGGTAAGCCCAGGACAAAACTTGAGGTGGCGGCCCTCAAGCACGCCGCGCGGCGCTGGCAAGCGGCGGACATCTCGGCACCACCAATTCAGCAGGGCGAGGGGGGCACAGCGGGGGGTAGGACGACAAGAAGAGAGGAGGAGGGGGTGCGACTGCGCGCTCGCACCGCGCAGCGCCGTGAGGGCCCTTGGCGGACTCGCCGCCCAGCTGTCTTGCATGCCGTGCCGGGTGCGTTCTCCCACTTTGTGGGATCTGTCATCTGTCACAGAAGGCTGACCCGTCGAATGCGTCTGAAGAGATGGGAGATGCGCGATAGGTCGCGCCGGGCTCGGTGGCCGAGCCTCTCTTTACAGACAGTCGGCGCGGCTGCCCCGAAGAACACTCAGGTCTGCAGCCGAGGTACTCGCCACAAAGTTTCTGGTTGCTTTCGGTGAGAGAGCAGGAAGATCAACTGGGACACAGCACCCTTCGGTCGTAGATGCCCCGAGATACTGAAGGGGCCCCAGGACGCACAAATAAATACACACAAAAAAGGATCCCCCATAATGTCCCATATTTTCTGTTTTTGTTTGTCTTCCCCCTCTACTTCCCATTGTTTCCCATATTTTCTGGGGAATCGACGATGAATTGTGTCTGTGTGTTGCTTCCCCTCCTGAGGTACACTCCTCAAGGAGGGCCCGGCGCGTTCGGCCCAGCGCGGGCTCGCCGCGCAGCCGGCCGGCAACTGCGCGGCGACACCGCGCAGCCGAAGGGAAGGGGGGGGGCGAGAGGGAGAGAAGGGGGAGAGGAGAGGGAGAGAGAGGGAAGCAAAGACTGCCCGATGCCCGCAGCACTGCGCGCCTCAGAGGCGGATGTCCCCACTGAGGCGCTGCTCGGCGACGCGGTGGTCTTCGCGCTGCTCCGGGGCGCGCCGTCGGCCTGCTTCGTGGCGCGCCTGCTGCCCTGCCCGATGTGTCCTCGCAGAATAAAGCGCTCCAACATCACCTGCGCGGCCAGCCGCAAAGTCGCTGTCGGCCTGGCGCCGCGCGCCCCTCGCCGTGCGCGACGAGCGCCGCGTCGCATGTCTCCACGAATGTCGCAGTCTATACACCTGCCGCGGTACGAGGAGCCCGCAAAGTGAGATCCCGCGTGGACGGCTCCTCTGCGTCTGCAGGTAGCAGGAAGTCGGCCAGCCCGCCTCCTGCGAGGCGGCCCGCGGTAGCCCCGACCTGCGCTGCGAGAAGTCAGCGACGGCCTCGCGAGACGCCAGTGCTCGATGCCCCCCACTGTGCGACGGCAGCCGCAGCTCGAGCTGGCCATGGGCCCGCTGGGCCATCGGCGGGCAGTGGCCCAGCCGCTCCAAGAAGCCCAAAGGACTGAACCCACACCATGGGCGGGACCAGC